CATCGTTAACAAACATGCATTTGGCTTACGTGTACAATTATCTAGCTAGCATTACCGATTATCAGACAAGATATTGATATAAATTTTGCCGTAACAAGTACATATGATTTTATGTAACATTCATTTCAAATTTTCTCTAGATAAGAGACTTGTTATTCCTAATGAAATTCCAGAGATTTTCGATAATGGATACCTAAAACGTGTGCACGTACTATATGAAATATAAATATATTACGTCGCCAGCTACGTCCACTATGTCGCTTTTGAAAATTGCCACGACGAAAAAGTGAAAGTTGATCACTATGTCGCATCAGTATGATGCATTATGTCGCTTTTGAAAATTACTACGAGGAAAAAGTGAAAGTTGTCCGTGATAACCGATAAACATTGAGAATAATTCGTCGGGTTAACTCTGTAAATGCAGTAAAATATATTATTATTGAAATGAATTATTATCAAAATAATTATAGACACTACAGCATTATTATCAAGAAAAAAAAAAAATATTTTCCTCTAAACTATTATATTTACACATCACATTTCGTAAATTTTTCCTAAATCTCTTTCTGCTTTCAAAACACGGTCCAAACATGAATGGTTCCCCAATGAAAAGATTTATAAAATATTGACACTATGTATTACATATTACATATTAAAACAGTACATAATAAAAAATAAATATAATAAGTTGAAAAATATAAAGACACTCATTTTTTTCATAACATTTACGTAATCAGAGAGAAAGCATTCCAGGAATTAACGATAGAATGATTTTTCATCTATTAAATCGTTACAGAATTGTTAAAATTTCTCGGCCAGCCAAATCTTTTAAATCGACACTTGCACACACGATAAAGCTAAAATGATTTTTGCATATCGTCCGTGAAAACCTCCGGAACCTCGCGGTCGACCGTTCACCTCGAGAATCTCCGTATCTCGGAGGCAAATTCAATCGGGTTCAACAACCTGGAGATCGTTCATACGAAGACCGTTAATAACAGGCATTCGGAGAGGCGGCCGTGAAGGATAAATTTAAAACGCCGACGCGCGCTTCGCGACAATGTCCATGACCTGCATAAAAACTCTCATCTATCGAGTGATGGTGGATATAAATCACTATTAAAAATCGATGATAAATTACCAATCAAAATGTGCCGTTTTTCTCCTTTTTTTAATAAGACTGCTTCACAGTGTGTCGAAAAATCTTTTCAAAATTTTTACATATATTTCAACATATACAGTCTGATAATAATCGTCATACTTGTAATGTACAGGTAGAGCGGATTAAACTAAGTAGGAAAGTCCTCTACCGTTTTGCAATCTTCGCAATAATTAACGAGAAATTAATTTTAAAAAATCGAATAATTTTGGCGAATATTACCGCGCGATGAGAAAGGACGGCACATTGATATCTAATTGCTAGGTCACGAGAATCCAACGTTAGGGCCGTGACATACAAAAAAAAAACGTAAAGGAGTAAGACTTAAAATGTAAGAATTTCATCCATTTTCATCCATTTCATCCATTTCACGAAATTTTCAGCGTTGCTTATGTTTCAATATGGCTGCTTGCGTTCTCGACTGTGATTGGTTGATTCTTACTTTTCACATTTTTTTTATGTGCCACGTCCCTTACACGCCGCTCGTGCATGGTCGTCGTCCTTTGTAAGGCGCCCCTCCCCATCGCTTCGCCGCACGCCTAGTATGCGTTATCCTGAGTAGGATGTTTCTTTTCCACACGCTTCCTACTCACATGGATAGGCCAATCTTTTTAAATTAATTTTTCATTGATTATTGCGAAGATCGCAAAATGGTAGACTACTTTCCTACTCGGTTTAACCCACTACTTGCACATTATGAATGGGACGATAATTATCAGACACCCTATATAATTAAAAAATATAGATAATTTATGTATTATATGATTATATATATCAAGAGATCTCTCTCAAAGTAAATTAACGATCGCCTGTAAAATACAGAAGTATTTCGATATTTGTATGATTATTCTAGAAATATCCACGATGCCTTGATCTTGCCCACGAAATATACGTGAGACTTAGCTATCTATTTACGTTCTCGCGAGCAAAATATCTTTGCTAAATCAGCGAAATAACGTCGGTCGCGGCCAAGTTTATTCTCGGCGGGTAGGGATATGTGAACGCGTGAGGTCAATTGAGGACACGAATCAAAGATCGGCCATTAAAAATCTGGTTTTTACCGTTAAAAGTTTAAACAACTTTCTCGATTTCAAATTATTTTTTTTACGTTCGATACTGATATACGCTCACATTGCGAGGTGTGTGTATTCATGTTTATGTATCAGAAAATATTACTGTAGATACAAAAAGGAGTCTGAAATATTTTAAGGCATTTTTTTGCGTTTCTTATTAATTTATCTCTTTATCAAATTATCAAAGAAAGTAGCGATTTCAAAAAAAACTTTTGAAATCTTTAGTTTTTATTATCGTAAAAGATACCAAGCCAAGATCCTTTTTTTTACTTTCTGTAGCATCCGTAATAGAGAAAGCGTTTAAAGAGAAAGAGCAATCCTGAGAAAGTAACACGTATATTCAAGAGACTATTTATATCATCAAGATGCTATGCCATTTACTTTAGCGAATATAGCGCAAATTGATATTAGGCTAGTTTAATTGTATTGATTAGTAACAATGAGTTTTCTAAATGCATTAATATATTCTGTTTTTTTAGTATCAAACGATAGATGTCAAGATTTTCTTTTTGTTAATCGCCTCCAGACAGGAATAGAAAGCGTATCGAATTAAATTTGCCTGACATGAAATTTTCAGAAACTTGTTACAAAAATAGTTAGTACGAAAACACAAGTGCTCATAATTCATTAAATTTTTTAAAATATATTATTAGATATGTAAGTTAATTAGTGATTGTCTAACTTCAACCAAGCTTAAATTTGTGCTAATTAATTCTTAACAAGAATAGTATATCCAAACCTGGTTCGTATTAAATGTTTTTTAAGTGCAGAATAATTGAGAATGTTTCTCAAACGTAGATAAACTCTCAAAACTTGGCTACATTTATCGAGTTGTTATTAACAGTACAAAGAATCTTATTTGACGGTTGCTATCCACATGACAGGTTCATTCTGCTCTCACTTCTCACTCATCGCCGTTTTCTCCCTGATAATTATTATGTAATTTTTATATATACATGGTGCCATTTTTGTGCAACTAATCGTATATATCACAAGATTAATTTTTAAAAAAGGAGAAAAAAATACAAGGATTGCAAGAGTTTTTTTTTAGTTTGTCCAGGATTGCTTGTGTAATAGAAATACGAAACAGAAAGAAAAATGCAAACCGATTTAATCGATGCAGCGTTCTATCTCATTAAGATTAAGATCTTATCATTTTTATCTCAAAAATGTTAAAAGCTATATCATTATTGTCTCATTATTTTTAATGAATATTTATCACGAATATCGATTGTTTTGTGTTAATTCGGACAATAACGTTTTATTATTAACGTTGTTTTCGCGATCGTTGCTTCGTTTGTCGAGCCCGTCGCATCTGACTATATGAGATCGAATTGATACAACGGGCGAGACGTGGCAAATGTTTGCCAGAGTAAACAACGGAAGGAATAATGACATTAAAATTTATAACGGGTCACGGATTACAGCTGTGCCAACGATATCTAACCAGTCATCGACGTATTTATCGATGAGCGCATTGCACTTCTCTACAGTGAATTATTACTTTGGGCATTTAAGACCAATGAAATGTGCGGCATGAAAAACAGCCACGTGGTCGTGGCCTACGACCCCGTCAAATAGTTCACAACCGCTTCGATTATGGATTTTGAATGATAAAAACAGCAATAACGCTGTCTAACATAAACATCAACACGCGAAATATTTAATACATGTACTTTGACAAATGCCGCCGAAATTTCTGTCATTCATTATTCGATTATACTTCCATGTTTCGTTATTGTTTAACTGTAAATAAAAATAATGTTGCCGTTACTGTCTCATTGAGTAAAAATGAATGATTAAATTGAATAATAATTACCCAAACTGATGATTCTGCCGCAAATTTTGAGATTTTTTGCTCGCATCGATAAATAAATTAGTTGCAATGCATTTGAGAATCTGCATAATATAAACAAATCCGTTATATACTCACTTATTTTTATTCAAAGTTCAATTTTTCAGAGTGAAAACGAGAAATAATGGTAAATAAATTAAAAATAAAATGTAATAAAAGTATTATTAAAATTTCCAAAGAGAAACACTTCATGAGAGTAGGAACATTGTTTCCTTCATTGCATTATTTCAAAAATAAATAAAATATCAGAGTACTTTTTATTTCAAAGAGGATTTTAAACAAACATTTACAATATTTTCACGATATTTAATATCGAAAAGAATGAAACAATGAATTTTAGTCTCGAATTTATCTAGTTTTTGAACTTTTAATGATATTAACAGGACAATACAAGGGCTGTCATAAAAAAACCGAATTTTAAAAGCTATGATGAATTTTTAAGCCACAAGGCCATCTGCGTTGTGGCTCTATATAATGAGATTCTTTAGCAACTTTCTCATACCACGAGCATGATGCTATCGTTCTTAATTTACGTTTTATAGTGATTTAAATGAGGTTATGTTCAGCGTTTGAGCGCTTTCTTTAAAGTTCGGTTTCTTTATGGACTGCCCGTACATATTTATAAAAGTCGGAGACGATTGAAAAAACGAATAAAAGAAACGAGATGATATCCGTTCATCTCAATTCTATCGTAACATTTCTCGATTCTTTCTATAACAATCATTTTTTTTTTTTTAAGACAAAGACATAAAGAGAAATACAAGTACTCGATTGGACACCTTAAAAGCTTGAATATTGTTGACTATCATTTTTTTATATGCATTGAAAGATTGCAAGTGTAGACATGCAAATATATCGCTGGAGATGGGGAGAGGGCGAAGGTATTCGAATAAAAACACATGAGAAAAACTGGAGATAATCCGGTTGTATATTTATAACAGTTTCATTGTTATATGACAATCCTCTCTTAATCTTAGAAGAGAGAGAGAGGAGGCATCCGTTGAACTCCTTTCCTACCATTATCTCGCTTTAAAAATTCTTTGTTATCTTTCCAGAGTTTCAAGACTTTAAACTGAGTGAATTGACAAAAAAAATAAACATTGAAATTTATACGTATTCTTAAACATTTTTTCGCGCAAAGTTAAAGAGTTCAACAGACCTCTCTTGTTATTCTCTTGCAAAAAATATCTAACTTCTAGAATTAAGCATAGTACTGAAATAAAGTAATTAAGTTCATCGATAAAATCATAACGCGCGCATTGCGTTATAAGCGATAAAATGTGATTATGCATCACATGTAGAATACATATTGACAATAAGATCAAAATAACTCGTGCCGAAAGAGCGAAAGCAAATGAATGCATTAGTTTCTTGTTCTTTTTGCCTTTCTTGATTACGTTGTTAATACCGAATTTTGAACGGCTAGATGAGCCACGATGAGTAAAATCTAACCGACTAACTCGGTGTTATATATGTATTTCTCTTTCCGTTGTTAATTTTTAAAACTTTATTTAAAATAGAGATTCGCAAGTTTTTTCATGATCGGTTATTATTTCGTTGCCTAAAAAAATTTTTTTAAACAGTTTGACGTAATTTTACTCATCGTTAAAGGAATAATCGCGTGTGTAACGTTACTTATAATTAAAACTTAGGAGATATATATGTATGTACATCGATATATGCGAAGGTAGAAAAATATACTTTACAATACTATCTCGTTACAAAATCCACGTTAAATTTCTATATTACGTAATTTATTGTAGATATTTATGGTTGAATATTCGATCGTGATATAAAATTCTGCTGTTGCATAATTATTAAATGAGAAGCGATTAGTTGTGATAATGATGGAACATGCGATGTCAATAGAAGCGCGGATAGTCGGTCTCATGAGATCATTATTAATACATATCCGTATGTATATCGCATATTACGTGATTCGCCGTGTATTCTTGTCAAAAATTGATAAAAACATGAACGCGACACAAGTCCCGTTATGTCAGACACGTGGCGATATATGTAATAACGGTACGTGGTTCACGAAATTACTTAATATATTACAATTTGGTAGCACGTATAAAGCGAAAACCTTTACCCCCGCTGATAACACATGGGATATCAACTTTGGCTATAATCCACGTGTCCTTTCATTCGTGTCGATGTATTTATTTGTACAAAAATGTAATTCCGTAGATTTTTAAACTCAATGTAATATTCACCGTTAGTCACGTGAGAAATGTTGTTTCTAAAGATGATTTCCTGGATTTTTAATGATGCGATTAAACGCGCGACGAGATAATACAGAGAGATATATTTTTTTATCTATTAGATTTCAGTCAAATTAAATTCGTGCGTGTTTTGATTTCGTTATGTTGTATTCATCGAGCCGTCGTATAACCAGTGTCACGCCACGTGTCCTCGTCTAAAAAAACTTCACGGTGTCGTTCCGAGCGAAATTTACATGCGTACTATATGCGTCGGTGGAAGCCAACAAGAGACACTTACCATCATCAATGACGCCGCGCGACCTTCTCGCGGGGAAAAAAGAGATATCGAATGAATTATGTATGATGGGATTTGCATGATGGGATGGATACGATAATGAATAATAAACGCTGATACGTATCCATATAAATACATATATAGATTTTTGCATACATTGATTTTTACAGATACAAAATTGTGATCCATGAAATGATAATACGATTTGTACAATGTATAAAACAGTAACAATTGACGCATATACAATGTAAAACACATACAACGCATAAATAAAAACGTGCACACCAAAGAGAAGAGATTCAGTAATGTTGCGATAATAGTGGAACATAATTATTTGTTTGAATGTAAAAAGTTTTCGATCAATTTTCAATCATCGTTGGAAAGTAAAATTAAAGATAAAAGTAAAGTTTTGAAAGAATAGAAATCAGTAGATAAGAAGAGAGAATACATTTGAAGTATAGTAGAGAAGTAATATAGAGTATAAGAGTATAAGAGTAGAGTATAAAGAAAAGAGAAATATAGAAATATAGAAATGTATAACATAATAGAGATTTATAGAGACCTTTAAAATTTTTAAGAAGCGTTCGACTGCCAGATTTACTCATCATCATATCTATGATGTTTGTCGAAAGTGTGCGCGTTATATGCATGTGCACGCGCTAAAACGAACGAAAGGAACACAATATCCGTATCACAGATTTCACTGGGAAACACACGGGACATTACAAAACTAATTATAAAAGTATAGCGCGTTTCCATGCTCATCTTTATCTTACAAGAATGTCCATAATACGCGCCATTTTTGTCATTTTTCAATTCGAAAGTCAAGACAGATACGATCTCGTAAAGATTCTTCTTCTTTACGTGAAATTTTCCATTACCGATGTGTGACATCGTAATGCACCTTTCGCAACACTAGATCCACAACGACCCGGGCATCCTCGATGGAGTCATGCGTATTCTCTTGTATGCTCCGCCTGAGCACCTTCCGCGCCAAGGTCTTCAATCCTATACAATATGGAAATCCATAATCGTGCGGAAACATCATGGTAGTATCGACGACATTTTCGTGGAACAAGTGCAACATTTTGAAATCGCTCGCCAGATTGTGACCGAGAAGAATCGTCTCGGCGTGGATGAAGGTTATTAGCTCTTCCTGGACTTGCTCGAGGGTCATGGTGACGTTCAACATTTGCTCTTCCGTAATGCCGCTGAATCTAGTGTTGTAATCGATGATTTTAGTTCTTGGCTTGACTAACGTGTCGTATACTAAATTGCCATACAGATCTACAACGGTGACTTTGGTGAGCTCGAGACCGTATAGTGTATAGCACATCTCGCAATCTATAGCATAAATGCCATAGTTATTATCATGCATCCGTTGGTTGGATGGCAAGGTACGCACATAACCCGTAAATGGTCCATTTTGTCCGGGCATCAAGCCATTCCACACGTGTACTCCTGTCTCACAGCCGGACGAGAATTCTGAATTTTGACAGCACGTCCAATATTTGCATTTTAACTCGGCGTTGATCCTTCTGTCGAACAATTTGCCCCAGTGATAGACGCAACGTTGCTTGGACACGTACTTGCCAGAGTAATCAGTGTAGAACGACTTGTGGCATCTGACGCACTCCCTCTTCTTTCGATGCGACAACACATCGCATTTTTTCTTGCTATCTGACTTCTTTTCACCGCCGATGCACTTATCGGACAAACTCTTTTGCTCCTGTTCGGAAGCACTGTCGGTCGAACTACTACTGCAATTACCGCTATCTGGATCTTTCTTGTCATTTTTCTCTTCTGCAGTATTAGTGATAAAATTGCGGGTAAAATTCGGGCTGCTCGGATATGTTATATTTTTTATCATCGCGCAACCTGGAAAGTCGGGCGACTCTACAGGGTAACCTCGTTCAATCAAATCGCTCAACTTCAATTTATAAATCTCGATTTCTTGCCATAGAGAGCTGTCATTTAGGGGTATATTCTCCCGTTCGCTCTTGTAATCGTCGTAATATAAGTTGTTGACATAAACAGCTTGCTCGTACTGCTGTTGTATTAGATTCACACCCATATTTTCAACAGGAAAATACATCGGTGGCCAAATTTTTCCTCCGCTATTGTAGCGTCTATACACATTGTCAATCATGACTTGTCCTCGTATTTGGGGGTTCCTTTCTTGATTCCTGTGCTGATATCGATTGTGGTTTATTCTCGATGGAAGCATCACATTCGAGTGCGGCGAGGGTAGTATCGATGTCACGTTTGTCTCTGTCCGCGATCTAGGCCTATAGTGGCTCTGCACATGTTCTCCTGGTTGCAAGCTCCGATCTTTATATCATATGGAAAAACAAATGTAGTAAGTTTATTGTATCGGAGCTATCTTTTTATTGTTAAAGATGTCCACACATCACACGCGCATGCAAATTTGACCCTCCTCCTTTCCTTCTTTCTTTCTTTCTATTATTATTAATATTTTATTTAATTAATGAAAAGGATTATATTTTTTTAATATTCGGCATATGTAACTGTATAGAAAGATATAAGTGAATTTTTCACATACATTTATAGTCTAATATGAAAGGAACGTGTTCTCGCGAAATTGGTTTCGAGATATCAAAATCGATAAGCTTCATCTATATTTTTAATTCTTTCGAGACGAGATGAGGGAGAAAAAAAACCGCGAAGAAATTTATTCACGCATCGAAATTTTTACGAAAATTTGCGTGATGCACACTGTCGTATTTTTATTGTCGTCAAAATTAAGACGAAGAAGAAGATGCTTTCGTTACGTGCGAAGGTGGAATTCCGGAGTCAAGTAAATAGTGTCACGCAGATGGCTGCGTTCCTGACCTAAAAACAGTTTTTTTCTTCGGTTTGTAGTAACGTTTGTACATACCGATTTATACGATAAACATTGGCACGTTTTGACTTATCGTCAAGTGCATGCAGCAAAAGATACCGATACACAATTATTCGAGAAACAAACAATCACGATAAAAGCCTATTGATATTCCTCAAATCGATTAAAATCTCTTTCCTTTTAGTCAATAACGATAAATAAACGGAAACAAAACATGAGGAAAAAATAACATGATATGAATAGAAGATATGAAATAAATATAAATTTCTTATTTCACTTGTTCAAAAGCGGCGATTCAAAGACGAGAATAAATTAAAAAGGGATGTTGATAGATGTTAAACAAAAGAACTAGCTATTTATCTTACAGAGATACTCAGTTAAGATAAATATTTTAGCTGATTTTTTTATTGAATAATTAATCAACATAACATTTTACGGCGTGAAAGTAAGATAAAACAAGGATATGTTATCTACTTTCAGTCACGTATAACAGATAGAGAAAAGGAAAAGGCACCTACGTGATATGTCCCAGCAACACTTCATCCATCTCTCGCTAAACGTGTTACGCAGCAGCAATGTTCGTGATTTCGTATCACTCGATTCGTAAGAACAGAGGCTCGTATCGACGCAAATCATGGCGGCGGGACAACATCCAAGAGACTATTGCTTTCGCGGCGTAAATTATTCGCGAATAATTTCGGCAAGACGGTATTTCGCGGACGAGCGTTGTTTTTATCCGCGCTTGCGTTATCTTGTGCAAATGTTTGTATGACGTGCCGCGATATTTCCGCCCGAACGGGATCGCCACCGGGGACTCGGCATTTGCGGAACATACCGATTCGTCGGCTTCCGTGCGGAAAAGGATGACAATTCGCGTGATTCGCGAGATTCGAGAAACCGGAGGAAACGTTATTTTTTTTAAGACTATTCGCTCGAATGATGACAGCTGCGTTTACTTATATTTCGGTATCTAAAGCATACATTTCCATCAATCGATGTCGAATTAATTATTTTCTGGCTGTGAATGTAATTTTAAATTCGTTTGACTCTTTCTATCTGCATTATAATCTCAGAACAATATAATTTTAGGTAAATATGCATATTAGGTTACACCTCATCGATGACTTTGACCTTGACATATGTTGTCAAGGATATGATCACTTTAAAAAAAATCTCTCTCTCTCTCTCTCTCTCTCTCTCTCTCTCTCTCTCTCTTGCTCTCATTTATTTGTCGAAATCCACTGAACTTTCTGGCAAAGTGTGATTAAACCGTCACGATCGCGGAACCGCAAGGATTTCCGTGATAATTTACAATGGTTGAATTATGGAGTCAATGAAACATCTGTTCTACATCACTATATCTGATAAATTAAAGATAATCATTAAAATCTATTGATATCTAACTTTAGTATTCAATTGATTAAGTACATTGATTAATAATTAATTAAATTATATGGTTGACATACCAGAAAAACTAGTAGTTGGCAATTTATTTAATTATTAGAATGCTCTCTAATACGTGCGCATTTTGAGAAATAAGATAAAGCACAGGAAAAGAAATAGGAGATAGCACAACAAGATTCTCTTTATAAAGCATGCATTATATATGTATATTTATAAAATTCTATTATTTTTATTATTATATTCTAATATTATATATATTGTATATGTATGTGTATATATATACAGGGTGCGGCATTCATAGTGACGCGGGCATATTTTTCGGAAACGAAATAAGATATCAAAAAATGTTTTAGACAAAAGTTGCATGGTTTCGAGGGGGCCACATGATAAAAATATGGATTTGACCTTGAGTGACCTTTTCAAGGTGAGGTCAATATGGTCGATGTTTTCTTAAATGGAACCCCCCTTTTTTATTACATATTCTTGTAGCTTACCTCGAGAG